GGGTTGTCCCACTAGGGATGAAACAAACTGTGAGTGGGCACACATTCCATGGTTTCATGTCACATTCGGATGCTTACCCATGTCCATACCTTAATGCTGCTTCTGCCATTGGCATCACCAAAAATGATGTGGAACTCTCCATCAAAAGGCTGGACAAGTGCCTCAAAGCCCTTAAGAAAGACGGAAACGTGGAGACGAGTGAGCTGGGGACACCGTCTGAAGGATCAGATGAACAAACGGTGCCCTGAATCAAATGCTAGCTTAAAAAGATGTTTTGCGCATTTCTCTTGGGGGGCAGAGGGGGATAAAAGACTCAATAAATATTTCCACTGTGAACTGGAACTGAGCAGTAGCTTTAGAGGGAATGCTGAATTTTTAGTTGAGGATTGTTGGTCGTTCTGCCAAGCCAAAGAGTGAAGTCTAGGTAGAGTATGTGAATGAAGCTGCCTTAACTGGAAAAAAAAAGGTTGCAACTTTTTAACCTGCTTGACTTCAAATTTTGAGTTCATTGAACTTCAAATAATAAGTTAACACATGTAAAACACAAATGATTCTACTGTTAACTTGATATTAGAAGTCCAGGGAGCTCAAAATCTTAAGTTAACCAGATTACTTACTTTTTTACAATAAAAAGTTGCACATTTTTTGTGACCACTATGGCATTTCATGCCTTTTGTCTTGGCATTATTGCTGTTATAATTTGGAAAGTCATTCTTCATGGTGATGCTGTGCTCAACAGCAGCTCTTTAATGGTGACATTTGCAAGTCAATAAACTAGCTACACTGGACCCCATGAGATTTTTTTTTTATTAGAAATAATGCCTGCAAAACAGCCCTAATTTGAGGAAAATCTTTACACAAAAGTACCATACAGGACTGTGGTGTATATAACTCCATTAGAGATAAAAGAATACACATTTGGCCTCTGATGGAGAGTGTTTGCCTATTACAATTCAATTTACAACCAGATGACTCCATTTTCAAACAATACAGCCTTATGTTGTAATATTATAGCAGATTCAGTAACACTTTATCATGAGCTAATGCCTTTGCAATTCTTTATCCTTATTACTGGTAAAACTGATATGCACCCAGCAATGCTAATACATCCCACTGGTGTTACTGATCTGTATCTGCAGAGGATGAAATACCAAAGGAATGCTAGAAGTGAAATGTAGGCTCCCTATGAGTTTGGATCAATAGCACTGCATATAAAGCAGTATGTTAGAGCAGAGCTTAAGGAGCCATTTAAAACGAGCAGTGGAAAGCCTATAAGGAAAGAAGCCTGTAAGTGACAATAGGTACTACTATGGGTACTAAACAGCCACTGAGGTGGTACCCTCAAGGGAATGTCTTCAGTACCATCAGTTAGGGAACATAATTTTACTATATTCTATTGCAATTATGTTTTTCAAGATGCATTTTTCTGTTTTAAAATGTTGAGCTTCAAAGGGGTACAAATATCCAACTTTCTGCTAGGAACCTTTAAAACTCGGTCAAGGTACACAATTTGACCCTGAATACCAATTTTTATTTGTACCTTGGTGAACAAAAATGTACCTGTACTCTACCTTTTTTCTGACAATGTAGGCAATTGACCTATTCATGCTCCCCACAGATGCTAATCTTTGGTCAGAAGTGTTGTCCAACTGACCATGGGCAGATTTTACAGTATGTTGACAGATGGATGATTATGATTTGACAAGAATTGTAGCACACAAAGTTTTTTGTCCGAGCACGTTATTAATTTCCAGTTTTTTTTTGTAATCGAGCCAATGCTTGTAAATTTGTCATTTAGCATGCTTGTAAATTTGTTGTCATTTAGTTTCAGTTAGCTACAACAACATTATATAATGCATCTAAACAAACGTTACAGCATTCTGTAAACCTTCTACAACATTTACTATGAAAAGATGGATTTGTCAGTGGAGTATGGCCAGGCCAGTTTTGTTACAACAGCTGAAGTGTGACATCACCGTTGCTAGCTGACTACGTCAAATAGTATCTGACAAAAGTGGAAATACTGTGATTTTCCCAAAGAGGAGACATTTTTAACAAAAGGAGATTTCAGAGGAAAATCAGAATCAAAAAGATTATTTTACTAATTAACAAAGAAGTCTTTTATAGAAACTCAGCAAACTGACGTCCCCCTGAGTTCCCTCCATGTTCTAAGCCTTATAAGACTTCCATTATCTCCAGAATAAGTCTGATAAATAGGGACGTTTATTACACTTGAATGGACTGCCGTAAGTTGTACTGAAGCACACTGACTGATCAATAATCTATATATGTTTGGCACACGTTCAGTGTCATTGCTTTGCTACTGATATTCATGCATAGCATAGGCTGATGTTGCATTAAATTAGCTACAGTGAACACTTTATGTTTTCATCAGTCTCTTTATAAGGAAAAGTGAGGTGTGGATACAATAATGTAGGAGTTTTGTACTTGCTGGTTAGATTGAATGCATAGCAACTGTTTCTCAGTCAGAGGTGTTGAGTCAGCACTACCACCAGTTTACAAAGCTTTTTATATGCAGCACGGCAACATTTACATTAATAATTCATGGAGGATCAGCCGGTACTGTTCTCCAGAAAATGCTTCAGACTTTCTGTCACTTTTCACCATCTCTCTCTCTCTCTCTCTCTCTCTCTCTCTCTCTCTCTCATGCTTCTGTATTAGCAGGATATTTTAACTGCACTCTGGTTGACATGTGGAGGGAAGCTTTTCCCACATCCAGTATATATGGGTGAAAACTTCTATGTACAGAAGTGTAATAGAGACCAATAGAGGCTGTATTGTCCCCTTTCCACTATCTGACCATCACTATATTAGCATGTCTCTCTCTTGTATGCCAACCATAGAATGGCAGTCATATTGGCATAAGAATAGCAGATTAGTACAGGCCCACCACTTTGTGCACTTCTTCATTAGTTTTTGGGAGGCTTGGAGAGAGAGAGAAAGGCTTAGCTTAAGTCCCTTAGTCGGGGTGGGATGTTGGGAAAGTCCAAGTTAAAATTCTTCTGTCAGCAGTATACTGCACATAATACAAGTTTGCTAAAAAAACGAGATGAGCAGGAGCTTTCCTAAGTCAAGCAGTAGTGAGAATGAGACGGATGATGGAAGAGCTGCTGAAGAGCTCAAGATAACAAAGTATTGTTGAGAAACTTGTTAGAGGAGGGAGGCTGTTGTTGAGCACTGGTCCAGGCATGGTTCACAGTCCAATGATATAGAGTCCTCTGTCTCTGTGTGTCTCTCTCCACACTTTTTGTAGCCATTTTTACTCTTTCTGATTCTGCTGATTCAGTTTTCTTTGTCCCCTCTATGCCAGTATTGTTTCACTCCTCACTTCATCTCTCTCTCTCTCTCTCTCTGTCTCTCTGTCTCTCTGTGCTGACTCAACTTTATTTTCACTCCATCTATAGGCTACAGTCCTTCATTTTCCATCCTCACTCTGTGTACTGCTCTCTCGTCTGCTGCTGACTCTGCACTCAGAGTGTGAGTACAGAGTAGCTCAGAGCCAGAAATAAATATGTGGCTGATAATTACGTAATATTGATCAGCATCACTGCAGTGCTTCATTATGGAACTGCTAATACTTCTGTTAGTCTGACTCTTTGTCAGAGTACTCTGTGTACCTTTATCTATACATACTTGGAGTCTTCAACGTTAATAAAGGTAAGTATGTTGTTCAACTTAATTTATTTATTTATTTTTTTTTTTTTGAATAGGCAGACACACTAGTTCTGGAGCAGCACTGCCCACCATGTTGTAGTGTTTTCCTGTTCTAACACACCTAGTTCACCTCAGGAAGGGCTTATTAAATGGCTCACTGGCTCCATCAGGTGTATTGGAAACAGAAGAAACTCTAAAATATGCAGTGCAGTGCTACTCCAGAACCAGGATTGAGACCCACTGCCATAGAATAACCATGTTTGGTTTCTTTATGCAGTATGATAAGGAAAAAACTTAAGGAACTTGTTCTAGTTGGTCTAAATAAATGAAATTTGATATGCTCACACATTGAATTTACATCTCACAGTACACAATGGATTTGTTTTGACTGTGTCAATTTCATACTTTTATTCCGTTAAATTTGGAATTTCTATCGTTTTCAGTAGTCAGTCTTCAGTAGTCCAGTGCGACCTAAAGACTGAATTTACTAAACATGAAGTGTTTACTAAAAATGAAGTGAGAAAAATGAAACTTTTTAGCCATATGGTGCGGTCCATTTGAAAGAAAGCCAGAACAAATAAGGACCAAAGTTAATAGGCTAAAAGCTTAAAATCCACACTGTAGACCTAAATTAGTTGACTTAAAAAAAAAATCATGCAAACTCATTGCCTCGAAAAATTGAGGTAAAGTTACTTAACAGGTTTGGGCTTAAATAACTTTATGTATGAGTTATAGTTACTTTCTAGTTTTCAGTGTTCCACACTTCTGCAGCAAATTAACTCAAACTGCCCAATAATTATAAACAGTATATATGCATGTTAAAACAACTCCATTGTACATAATGGATTATTTCATACAGGAACAAATACACAGCTTACATAAAACTAGAATCACCCTTTATCTGAAGCCTCCAACAACTTAACGCATATTTAGCATTTTGTTAGCACTTCTGGTTCCAGGCTGAAGTGGAAAACCTGAAAACAAAACACCATCATGATGAGAATAACAACATGTAAAGTGTATCCAGACCTCTCCTATAACATGAGAGTAAGCTATGACACAAAAAATAACATTTAGCAACGAGAAATCTGTCAATAAATAAGAAAAATAAGAGTTAATTAACAGAAACCAACAAAACCGCCTGTGTGACTGTTAGTAAGAGAAGTTAGTCAGTGTGACTAACTGATCTTAACTAGATTTACCTCAGTAACTATGGACTATTGAAGAAATAGTAAGTGATTTTTATTAGTAGATTTGTATTAGTAATTTTCACAATTTAGTAAACAACAAAAAATTAAGTTAGAATAATTATTAATATGTATCTGTTCCTAATAGCGTCCTGACTACCTGCAGCGCGGCGCTGCTGACGGTCGAGCTCATTCACAGAGGCGGTTTGACCAGCAGTCGTCAGTGTTGGGCGCCTTTAATAAATAATGAAGCTGAGCGCGAGGAGCTTCAGCTGCGGCTGAACTGCTGATGTCAGGAGCTTCAGTGCTGCAGTTGGGGCTGCAGGCAGGACTCGGTGGAGCTCAGGTCTTTCCTCTCCGGACTCCCACATGCAAACCAGCCAGGAAAGATGCTCTCCACGGTCAAACAGTGCGCTGTAATATCGGCGATGTTGCTCTGGTTGATGCCGTCCGTCCACTCGGGGAAAAAGGTCTTTAAATGCCCTTCATCATGCAGCTGTTCCAAGGAGTCCATCATCTGCGTCGGGTCTTCGTATGTCCCCCGGATGACCCCCAACGATGTCAGCTCGCTGTAAGTACACCTGCGTGTTTGTCTGAGCCGCAGAAGGTCCACAGTGAGGGCTTTTCAGCTCGTCTCAGTGTGAGAGCGTCACCGCAGAGAGCGCAGCGCGGGCTGATGCAGGAGAGGCCGGTGGTCCTTCCACAATGAGGGGCTGGAATGCTGTTCTGCTCTGTTAGTTGTAAAGACTGTGTGAATGAGTGAATGTCTTCACTGCGTTTGTCACTCATGAGCGATGCTCGTGTGCTTTTCAGGAGCATCGTGAACGGAACCTTCTCTGAGGTGAAGGAGGCGATGTTCGCCCACATGCCCTCCCTGCAGCTACTGTAAGACCACCACTTCTCACCTGCTCCCTCTCAGGGGATTCAGCTTTGAACAATAAGAACAGCATTAGCAAAAATAACAACAACGATAACAACATCTATTGTTATTATTATTATTATTATTATTATTATTATAAATAACATCATAATAATAATAATAGCCATTTCTTTTTTATTATTGCAGTTATTACTATTTTTATTATTATTATAATTATTAATAGTAGTTGTTGTAGTTGTATTAGTATTATTAGTAGTATTATTTTTACCAATAATAATAAGAACAAAGATAATAATAAAGTTATTATTATTATAACAAATTGTTACTGTTACAGTTGGTTTATTCCTATTTTTTATAAAACAAATACAAACTTCATAAAAAACAACAGTCATTGCAACTGACCACCAGTTCATTCTGTTTTAAACAATAACATATGATGGACTGTTTATCTTAAAGGGACGCTCTGGCCAGAATGACAAATTTAACCATGGCTGCATCACCTGTAAACATACCTGCAGTGGTGCCACAGTAGACTCTAGGTTAATATATTCTGGTTTAAAGTCTGGAAATCCCCCTTCTAACCAGGTAACGTTACTTTTTGGAAGCCGAATGCTAGCAATCAGAATTTCTTTATGCTGGAGCGGAATCCCAGTGGTTGTGTGCATGCGTGGGTATTGTAGTGAGAGAACATTGGGCCTCATTCACCAATATCTTCCTAAGTTTTTCTTAAATTTGTTCTAAAAAAAGGTCCTCAAAAAAAGTCTACGACAGATTCATGATGTGTTCTTAAACTGCAGAATTGTTCACACCTTTGTGCTCACACCTTGAGTATGTGTAGATGTATGTTCTTACCTAAAAACAAATCCCAAATAAGAAAACACTGACGAATGTCAGAATCTTCATTAAAACTGTGTAGGTGGGTTTTAAGAAGAAATTTCTTCTTAAGAAATACTGCGCTACAGAATATTACATAACATGACAAATGACATAAGCGCTAGTCTTAGGCCTGAATGCCCCTGTACAGCTCAGTTGCTCACTCACAAAACCTGAACCTGCTAATCTAAACCTCAAACCTTTCATCAGTTAGCAAAAGGAAAACTTCAAAGGTTTAGGCAATAATGTCTTGATACACACTAATCACACAGTTCCTAAACTCCTTTTTTGCACAATAGGTACAAATTTCACTGCAAAGCACTGTTAGCCTTCTGCTCTCATCTAGAAAGCTCTGCTATATGCTGAAACACAATAAATCCACACAATTTCCTTTCTGTCTGATTAATTCAGGATGCTTATGTTTGACATCAAACTAATTTGGTTTGATATTTTATTTATATCAATAAATATAAGTTAACAATTTGGATGCAGACTTATTTTTTGTTTTTGTTCCTTCAAGAATTTTACTTGCATGACTATTTATACTGTTTCTCTTTGTGAAATTAATTAGCAACTTTGATAACTGTTTTCAATTGATTTCATTACTGTTCAGTTAATAATCAGTAGTGTTTATGGATTTAATTTGTGTGTGTTTTGAAAGCTGTGTTTTAGTAATGTGCTGTAAAAAGTATATATTTTTCTGTAGAACATTAGAAACACTTAAGAGCAACAGTAGACAGCTTGATGGTTCTGGACGTTGTGTTCAAGATGTTCTTTTTCATGATTATAATTTTAGAATACGGCAGTGTTAATCATATATATAAAGTGTCTTCTTGTTACCAGAGCTTTTAATCTTGAATGAGGATCTACTGTGATTTGAGGGCAAACATTTTATTATTAGTTGTACTTCTTGATTAGATCTTTTGTTTTCTTTACATATCGAGCCAATGTGGATTGAGGTGACGTGAGCAGTGCTGTGTGTACTGTAGGAGTAACTGTGGACTAACTTTGTCCTAGCACTGTACTTAAATTTTAACAGAAATGCATTTCACTGTCTCTGATATCTCTGTACAACCTTGAAAGCATCCATGTGCTCCATTGAATTAATGTCCAATGGCAAGAGGTCACTTTAGGGCGGATTTATCACTTGCTGTTGTTTACGACGATAGCAGTTCCCTTGAGCTGACAGTGCCCTCGACTGTCACTGTCTCACAGTGAACAAGACAGTGTCTCTATAGAGCACAGTGGCTCCTTTGACTTTCTCCTGGCACTGGAGGCGTTCATAATGTCAGCGCTGTGATATACTGTAAACAAGCTAAAAATACATCTGCATCTGAAAAACAGTTACTGTGAAGGGGTTTAACGGATGTTGTCGTTGCTATACATCGCTCAGACTAAGAGCCTGCTGTTGTGATATAATCAAAAGTTGCTGAGTTTGATTCATGCATTGTTTTACACAAAGTCATTGTCCTCTGTTTGCTTTTACAGACTGCTTAACTCAAATGCACTTACTACAATCAGGGATGATGCGTTCGCTGGCCTACCACATCTAGAGTATTTGTAAGTTTCATTTCTTTTGTGTCATGTAAAGTCCGTTTGATCAATCTGAAAGATTTTACTGTGAAAAATGCAAAAAAAAAGAGGACATGACGAATACATACATATATAAGAAATTTGGAAAGAATAAGTACAAATAGAATAGAATAAGTACAAATAATTAGTACAAATTAGAAAAAGTACAAATAAACAAGCAAAACAATACATTGTGGTTTTATGTCTGTCAGTGTGTTAGCTTAACTATTTCCAAACCTCTCCTCAAGGAAGCCCAGTGTTAACCGTCTAACCGTCTAACTAGTTTTTGTAATCAATTCTCCATTAAAATGAAATTGCACTGCTGATGGAATTGAATTAATCTGTCTAATAGCTGAAATGTACCTGTGTTTTTCTAACTACTATATCAATAATTTCCTCTCAACCAAAAATCACTCTCCATATATATATATATATATATATATATATATATATATATATATATATATATATATATATATATATATATATATATACGTGTGTGTATACACTTTAGACTAAAATGCTTTTGCTTTGAATAACCTTATGCCTTAAGTATAGTTATTTCATTAAAACCAATCATTAACATTCCATTTTGTCACTATACTTCAGAAATTCTAATCGGTAATAATTGTTTCGGTAGTGACAATTTTAGCCAATTTTGAGCATAACTCAAAATCCCTAGCCAGTATGTGACTAGCACACATAACTTTGAACAGTTGTTCACACATAAAATCACAATAATTTTCACTAAAACACAACAACGTTACTAAATTGCAGAAAATATGTGTTTCGGTAGTGACAATTTTTATTGTTACACACTGAGTTTCAGACTTTGGAACACATTTACATCAAATCAATGGGATCCAACTGCTCACCATGTGCCCATGAGGGACAGGGATGCAGTCTCACTTCCTGCTCTAAAATGCAGGGTTGAGGCTAAAATAAGGCTCCGCCTATGAACTAAAATTTATTGTGTTTCAGTAGTGACATTAAAACATGGGATGGCATTTATTAATAACACTTTTTTTTAAAAAACTTAAGCTCATAATAAAACTACATCTTTCAGCTTCACTTTAAAAGTAATGAAAAATATCTTTTAAAAAGCAACATTAAAAGAATGCAAAGAAGTAAAGATTATACAAGTTGAACTTTAGGGGTTAGTGTTTGGGACAGTCACCTCTCAATAGAGATATACATGATCTTGTTTATATTTGTATGTATTATTTTAAATACACTGGGTGTAAATAGATGATAACATAATCCCTGTAAATATCTAAGGTCTGATGACTTTGAGCTAATTCAGTAGAATGATCCATACATACTTCTGTTACGGTTTGTTCCTACTATGCCAGTATTGATTCACTCCTATTTCATATCGCACTGTTTCCAACTGATATAATAAGAGGCCTATCAAATTATAATGTGTTCAAAAAGGGATACGTTATTGTGTTACTGATCGTGTACTGCATCTCCTGTCTTGCAGTCTCCATTCTTTGCATCATCCTCCCATGTACTGATTCAGTTTGATTGATTGGTCTACTCCTCGTCTTCTAGGTTCATTGAAAACAACAAAATTGAGACCACTTCAAAATATTCTTTCAGAGGGCTCAGAGACCTGACTCATTTGTAAGTTTACATCATAACTCATCTTAATTCCCTATAAGCTATGTCATCAAATTGGTTCCGGTGCACTTTAGTGTATCTGTACCCTTGCAGGTCTTTGGCGAACAACAACATCAAAGCCTTGCCAAGAGATCTCTTCGTTGATCTGGATTCACTAATAGAACTGTGAGTCTGCATTTCAGTCTGCTTCATTCACTGTGTAATATAAGTGAGCTTGTGCCGTACGTAGTTTAGTTGTGCACTTCATGAGACACTTTAGGACACTTTAGTGTTCACTAGTGATGACCCTTCTGGCTCTTTTCAATAAGTCATACAAATTGACTCAGCTCATCAATAAAATCCAGCTCTGTGGGCTCAGAAATGGCTCTTCGGTCAGTAGCATTGTCTTTTTTATATTTTTGCACTTAACAAAAGTTAATAATATTACGACCTGCGATTGTTTTGTCTACTTTGCATGTTGTTTGCTATAAAATTAATAGGCAGACTGTTGTTTACTGCCTTGATTAGCACTTTCCTTTCAGCTGCTTTCAGCTGAATTTATAGATTGTGCCAGTTCAAAGCCTTTTTCCAGTCATATCTACAACTAACTACTTACCTCTAGCCTTTTGCGTGTCCTTCTGAAGTCCTTTAACCTGGTGTGTCCTCCTGCAGAGACCTGAGAGGTAATGTGTTAGAGTGTGACTGTCGTGCTAAGTGGCTGATGACGTGGTTGAAGAACACCAATGCCACCGTGTCAGATGTCCTCTGTGCTGGCCCTGAGGAGATGAAGGGCAAGCGGCTCAATGACATGGCAAGCCTCCACAACGAGTGCATCTCCACAGGTTGTCTCTCTGAGTGTGTGTGTGTGTCTAACTGCACTTCTAGTGCCCCCACAGCACAGTTTTTTCACCTCTAACACACCTGATTCAACTTGATAATTAACTGATGAATTGAATAACGAGTACTGAAGCCAGAAAACTATTTGTGTGCATGTATGTGTGTAATTCAGCTGCTGCCTTCGATACCTTGCTAGGCTCTCAGTACAGTGACCTTGTAATCACTTACAAGTGCATAATAATATAAAAATTGCAATATTACCACTTTTCCCATGTTATTTATTTACCTATGGTTGACAAGTGTGTTTCTACAAGATTAAGAAATTATATTGTTTCTACAATGACAACGTGTAGCAGTAATTAAAGGGATAAAAATAGAACTACTATGACAAACTGTACAGAAATGTACATTATTCCTATGATCCACATTTTACAGTAATGTACTGTACATATCTACAAAACAGCCCCATTGTATTTAACAGCACTGTAAAATAATTGTACACTAACTTACAGTTTATTGTAATTTACAGCTGTTTTTACAATGCTTAGTATTCTTAGACCACAATTCAAAATGTTTATCTTAACATATTAGCATGCTTTCTTTAAGCTAATATCTGCTACCCTGAGCTAATATTGTCTGCCCCAACAGATTTCATTCCACTTCACTCTGTGACTACTGAGTCTCTATCTGTGGACACGTTCTCTCACAAGAATGATGTGTATGTGGCCATTGCTGCCCCTAACATAGAGAGCTGCATGGTGCTTCAGTGGGACCACATTGAAATGAACTTCAGGACTTACGACAACATTACAGGTGGGAAGATAAGCAATTTAGTCAAAATTGTTGTCCTTGCTGTGTACTTAAAAGGTAAAACAGACAAATGTATGGAAAATATTTTGTGAATAAGGCATATGTAATTGAATTTACAATTATTCAGTAGTTCAATAGTAGTTCAATAGCTGAAAAGCATGTTTTTCTATCTGCACGTCTAGTGCCCCAACAGCACAGTCTGTTTTATCACCTCTAACACACCTGATTTAACTTGATAATTAATTGATGAGCCGCAAAGGTTTACTGAAGCAGGAGAACAATGCTTCAGATCTTTAGCCTTTGGCTCTAAAGACCCTGCTTTTCCACACTACAAAATGTCTTAACAGTATTGTTCTCAGCAGGCCACAGCTCAAAAGCAGAGAGACCCTACTCAGCCCATCCCAATAAATAATATGACCAATAACCCTTTTCAGACCATATCCCAAAAACAATACAACCTGTAACCCTATTCAGCCCTGTCCCAATAAACAATATGACCAATAACCCTTTTCAGACCATATCCCAAAAACAATATGACCAATACCCCTACTTGACCCCATCCCAATAAACAATATGAGCAATAACCTTTTTCAGACCATATCCAAAAATCAATACAACCAGTAACCCTACTCAACCCTATCCCAGAAACAGTATGACCAATAACCCCACTCAACTCCATCCCAGAAACAATATGACCAGTAACCTTATTTAACACCATCCCGAAAGCAATATGCCCTATAATCCTACCTAACCGCATCCTAAAAACAATATGACCAACTGAACTCCACCCCAAAAATTAAAGTGACCAAAAACTGTACTTAACTCCATCCAAATAAACAATGTGACCAATGTCTTTTAACCCCATCCCAAAAACAGTGAAACCAGTAACCTTACCTACATAAAACATGTTCCCAGAAACACTTTTATGTTGTTCTGTTCTGTCATAGTCCAATGCTTTGAGTTGAGTATATTGTAAAAATAATGGCTGTTGCATTGCTATAAAAATGTGTACAATATATTCAATTATTCAGACTATTCTGGGGCTCAATAAAAGACAAAACTGTCCGAATCAGGTTCTGTTAATTAGTTGATAATGGTTTAAGAACCATTCTGCACTTATAAGTCTGTCACAAATTAATTACTTTGTTTCATTTACAAATTGCAGGTCAGTCCATTGTTGGCTGCAAGTCAGTGATCATCCAGAACCAGGTGTTTGTGATTGTTGCTCAGCTTTTTGGTGGCTCTCACATCTACAAATTTGATGAAGATCAAAGCAAGTTCACCAAGTTTCAGGACATTGAAGTGTCCAAGATCTCCAAGCCCAATGACATTGAAGCCTTCCAGATTGGCGATGATTGGTTCTTTGTTATTGCTGACAGCTCTAAGGCTGGTCTTTCAACCCTCTATAAGTGGAACGACAAGGGCTTCTATTCCTACCAGTCCCTGCATGAATGGTACCGTGATACCGATGCAGAGTTTGTGGACTTGGATGGCAAGGCTCACCTCATCCTGGCCAGTCGATCTCAAGTCCCAGTAATTTACCAGTGGAGCAAGAGTGTACAGAAGTTTGTCTTACAAGGTGAAATCCCCAATATGGAGGATGTAGTGGCTGTCAAGGCTTTCTGGATTAAGGAGGAAATTTACCTGGCTATGACACGATACATTGGTGACTCTAAAGTCCTTCACTGGACTGCCAAGCATTTCTCTGAGGTTCAGGCCCTTCCTTCAAGAGGTTCCATGATCCTTCAACCATTCACCTTCAAAGATCGGTATTACCTGGCTTTAGGTAGTGACTACACCTTCTCACAGATCTACCTGTGGGATGCGGAGAAGAAGATTTTTGAGCGTTTTAAGGAAGTGTACATCCAAGCCCCACGCTCTTTTACCGTGGTCTCTACAGACCGCCGGGACTTCATCTTCGCTTCCAGCTTCAAGGGTAGCACGCAGATATTTGAGCACATCATTATCGATCTAAGCCTGTGAGATCCTATATGGACACAGGGTCCAAAAGGCCATCTGGAAGCATTTCAGCATCCGACAATGTCTTCCATTCAAAACCTTACAATTTGCTTGGGGAGGGTATATGGGAATGTTGGATGTGGAGAAGGTTGGTTGGAAATGCTGTTCAAGAAGCTTTATCAGGTATGTAATGTAATTTCATGGTGTAGTACATAGTAGTTCATGCATTTGTATAAAGCTCTACATTTATTTAGGATGTTGCTTGCCATTTGTCTGTTCATGTTTTTATTTATTTAATTACTGATTTATTTGTTTATTTGGTACACCTTTAGCTGAGATGTTCTTCAGCCCATAAAATGAGGACATTCATTGGGGACACATAGTGCTGGGTGGAGCTATACCCAAATCACTTGCATATATAAAACTAGCAATATCTTGAAGGACTTGGCATTTATGCAGCAATCATGCTGTGGCACCATGCATGATAGAGTTGCAAAAATAAAAATAAAAAAAATAATAATTTATTGCAGGCATGCTGAAAAACTTCTGATGTTAACTTACAACCTACAGGTGACTGATGAAATGCAGTCAAATTCTATACCATGAAATACCCCCATATGTGTGATAGTTCATTTCATTTACATATCCTTGCACTATTTTTACAATTATTTGCTGAATGTAGGACCTGTTTGCTCTACAACTACATACAATACTGTGCAAATTCAAAGTCCACCCTTTGTTTACTTAATTTCCAGTCAAAACTGCCATTAAGTACAAGTGATTCATTTTTCAGTGTCGGGAGAAAAGACAGAAAACATATCAGAATCAGAATAAGAATCAAGCTTTATTGGCCAGGTATGCTTGCTCATACAAGGAATTTGGTTTTGGTTACAGGAGCTCACAGTGCACAGTATCAGACAGACATTTACATGTAGTGAATAAAATAAATATAAAATAAAATAAAATAAATATAAAATTAAATACAATAAAATAAAATAAAACACAATGCAAAAAAATAAAATAAACATGCATTCCTACCATCACGCACTCATACACACACACAGTCATAGCTGTAACCTTTACATTGTGCAAAATATGGGTCTAAAGTTAAAGTGCTGAGTGCAGCGGCAGTTAAAGGGTGTATAGTAGCAAAGAAAGGGATCAATGAGGTGACAGTCAGATAAGTGGAGTAATAGTAGCTAGAGTAAACACTGGTCTGAGATGGTGGATTGAGTTGAGTTTGATACTATATACCAGTCTTTATTATAGCTTCCATTCTTTTCAGGAGACATGCTTTCAGCTTTTCAGATAAGTCTGCAGGTATATTTTCCCACACCTCCCAAGTTCAGTCTCATTTTCTGATGTTGATGTTGAGGTCTGGGTTTCGGGGTGGTCAGTCTGTTGTTCTGAGAACACCAGCAGCTTCTTTTGTTTGACTTGCAAATGTTTCTCTTTTTGTCTATTTCCTTTTAGCAGTAAAGTCTCCTGAAAAATGAATGACATGTACTTAGTGGCTATTTTGACTGGAAATATATTAAATAAAGCTTGCTGTCTGATGTTTGCCCAGTACTGTAGTACATACAAAACTCAAACTAGGTTTGTTGCATCATGCCTTTAGTACTAACTTGCCTACATTGCCTTATGAGTGTGTTGAGTTTTAGTGCAAAGAACATTCTACTTAAAACAGACAGAAAGCCTCATTCTGTACCTTCTTCTGTTTAACACTGTTGTGAATCATTTAACACTGCACTGTATCCTCCAAGAGTACATTGAACAATGCATTGTTGTCATCATCTCCTATATGGCATATTGCTGCCTTAATACTGGAGCATCAGCTATTGCTGTGCTTTCATTCTAACAAGAAATGGACATTTTAATGCCTGTCTGTTATTATGTTTTGTTTGTTGAAATTCTTCTGGAGACCTTTCTGGATACTATTTTACCTAAATATAGTATCCAGAAAGTTCACTGTTAATACAAAAAGATTTCAGTATCTCATAGATTTCTCATAAACTTACTGTTTTTGCAGCATGGGACACTATGCAGACGCAATAACACTTCAGACCTACTTATAGAATCTGTGCCTATAACCCATTGAAATGGTTTCAAGAGAAACTGACTGCAGATCCTTACAGCCATCTTTGAAATACTGGGGAAAAATAGTTTTTATCTACATGTTTGGGGTGCATCGTTTGAGCAGTTTTGTGTAAATATTCATTGAATGTACAAATTTTTTTCCATTGTTCACACTCATTCGATTTTGTATTTAGAGGTTTCTTTAAACTCTTGGTCATTGTAACTATGCCTGACCTTGGACTGACCTTATGGTAGAAATCCCACAATGCCACTGTTACAACATGCAACATTTAACCATCCTCATGACTGAGACTGAGAACCTCTGTTTTACTGAAAAATGTAGTTGGATGGAGCTCCAAATTGGTTGTAGCACCATGTCTATCCCAAAGAGGACAGCATTAATGGGTTCTTCCTAAATAGCATACTGTAGAGAGGAATTTGTGCCAAATTGAAATGTGGTCACTACAGTGGAGAATGTGGAATTACTTTTGTAGAGTGACATGCAGAATATGTGTCAAAATAATAAGCAAACACTTTATTTTATTTTTATAATAATAATTACATTATTTTCTCGTTGTTTGACCTCTTTATTGAAAAACAATACACAATGATTTACTGAATTCATGTCAGAACTGAATACAGTCTTTGCTATATTGCTTTCCACCAAGCGAGACTACAAACTTGTGTGCCTTGTTGAAATGCAATCACAACAGGGAAAACAGTGAAAAGCAAAGCACATGTAAGATTGCGTTTAAGCAGTGACACGTGAAAAACGTACCAAAATGAAAAGTAAAACATCCATTACACTGATTTAACGCTGTTTGAAGTACTGCTTTGTGGAAGGCAATACAGCTATGCACAGATTTCATTTCAAGGTGGATTGTACTCCGTTTTGACATACATACAATTCACCATTTAGTTTTTAAAATGCAAATGCTCATGTAAGTTTTTTCAGTAAAGAAGTCAAGCAACATGAAAATAATGTAATAGAGTGTTTGCTTTTCATTTGGACACATTCTGCATGTCACTATGGAAAAGTAATCTCAGAAATGAATTACGTTTTACGTTTCTTAACTACAGTGATTGCTTTTCAGTTTGGCACAAATTCCTATCCATGAATAGAAACCAATACAACATCAAGATTATAGCTGAGAGGAAAATGTAGATCTGATGATGGTGAAGACTCTCATGGCATTATCTATTATTAGCATTTATCATCCTCCATCTTTTGCCTTTTTGGCTCAATTCTCACACTACAGTTGTATGCAAAAATTTGGCCGCGCCTGGTCGAATTACGTTTTGTACACTGTTAGAAATGAAAGTACTGTGCAGGTACATTTTTCAATTATCTAGGTACAATCAGTGTAAATGTTCCCTCAAAGGTACAACAGTGATTTTAAGGCCCAACTGTGTACCTCAAATAAGCTTTTCCAGGTGAAAGGTACATATTTGTATCTTTTCATAACCTAATGTTTTAAAGCAGAACAATAAAATAAAAAGCCTGGAGATGAGACGGGGTGTGGAGTCAATACAACTTAGACAATATAATTTCAAGGGATTATGGTTCAATTATGTTCTCTTACTAAAGATACTGAGATGGACCCTTGAGGGTACCACCCCAGTGATGAGAGAGGAACTGTCCCAGTGATAGTTTTGTTTTTTTCTGAGAGTGTAGATTTTTAGAAGTGAGAATAAGTTACCACATCCTGTACAGAGAACCCATTTCTTCACACTTTAAACCCTTAAAATCCCAGGCTTATACATAGTAAGGATTATTATTACTTTGGGCTCGCCAATGGGCCCAAAATCATAAGGAAAAATAGAATCATAAGATGTGGTCTGTGCAAAAGTTATGGAACATTTATTTCTTGTTTTATTTTTTCCAGTGTGTTAAACTCAGAAAATGAACAGAAACTGTGCATTATTATTTGCAGATAAGTGGCATATTTAAGCGTGTTCACCATACAAGAGGTGTTCATTTTTGCATATGACTGTATGCTGCTGAGAGATCATCTGCTAGTTTACAGGGAGCAAGTAGAAAAAAATCATGTGTGGACTAAGGAGAGACTTACTGGAACATCCAATAAGAACATTCTGTCAAAAGCAAATAAAACAAATTACAGGGAAAAGCATAAAAGCACAAACCTTTAAACATTTACTCCTACACTGCATTTCTTGATCTTTTTCATGTATAGTTCCTCGACCTTGTCATGCTGTCATGCTTTTTGGATGAAGATTACTGGCCCATGCTGAATATGTGAAAATCATTAATTTTCTGTCGTGTACTGAGAAAATGTCGAATGTCAAACATGCTTGGAGTATGTGTGCCAAAACAAAATCATTTTTTACCTGCAATGTGGAATGTAAACACAGACTCAACCTTTAAAATATCATTGCAGATTGTAAGAGCATGCTGTTCGGTTCTGAACGTCCAACACATTCAAGCTGGCCACAATCTTCAGTCGTAAGAATTTCGAGTCTACCGATGCAAATCCAAAACAAAACTTCATAGTTCTACTTTTAGCCTAATAATGTATTTGAAAGCTATGTTTTGTTGTAGGTTTTTCAGGTCATTTGTTTATATGCTTATTTGTTGAATGCTACTATTATGTTTGAATGTCATGTATGTTTTTGAATACTACTGAAATATAAAATAAATGCTTAACAGTATTATTTCATGTTCATGTACTTGCTCTATAAGTAAGCCCTGCAGCCTTGTAGATGTTAACATGTAGAAATGTTTTCTTGCCAAAACAGCCTAATAGCACATCATGAGATTTGTACCACTGTGGACCCTCACCTTTTATGACCCTAGTCAGTTTCACCTGGTGGAGTAGAAAAATATAAAATATTTGTATGCGTGGATTTGATCATTAACCAATCATATTTGATAAAATAATGATTTATATAACAAGAGTTTGACATCAAAATGTACGTAGATCAAGTTTCCAACCTGCTGTAGTTGCAGTGCCAGAGTGCTACATGCATTAAAATGTCAAACACTGTGTTTTTCTAAATCATTCGTATGCAAATGACAAGAACTTAGCATAAGAAATTACATTTTTATAAATGATGCTAGTGGTCTCCACATATGCCCAAGAATAAAGTCCTTCACTCATCTGAAAATGAAAAAATTGAGTATGAATGTGGATTTAAAGCACTCATCCATGTAACAAGGACCTTGCAGCTTTGGCCCTTTGTGGGCAGACCAAACTCATTTTGGAATAGTTTTGTTTGGATAAGCCAATGCCCTCACTGCCCACACTGTCCACACATAATTGTTGGTTAGTTTTAGATGCATCATAATAATGGAATCAAAATAAAAAAAGTTCAGTCACAAATTTTTCTGCTTTTTAACTTCTGTTTTGCTTTCTCTTTATGTATTAGAATGCCGTTAATATGCATTGCACGTGTTAATAATGCTGAAAATTGAACTAGTTTACTCCACTGTTATATTAGAATCACATGGACGGAAAAAGTAAGGTATCTTCATTAGCCAGGTGAAATTTGGGTTGAGTTTAGATCTTTGAATCTGCTATTCCAACGCACTCTCTTCATTTAGGCCATTCAGTTGTAGAGTTATCAAATGATTGTCCTGCTCAGCTTTAGCTTTTCTTCTGATTTATGTGGTATAAATTAAAGCACTGGCACTATTTGTTGAATTATTACTTGTCATTAGTAATTATTCATTGGTAAGCCAGAGATGGAGTTACAGCACAAGGATG